TTGCTCGCAGTAAGAAAGGAATATTTTTGTGTCAACGAAAATATGCACTAGATATTCTTTCTGATTCTGGACTCAGTGGATGTAAACCTGCTATTTCTCCTATAGAACAAAATCATCATCTTGCATTGGATGAAGGACCAGAATATGAGAACCTGGAACGGTATAGAAGGTTAATTGGTAAGTTGATCTACCTCACTATCACAAGACCTGATCTAAGTTATGTTGTTCATATCTTGTCTCAATTCATGCACTCCCCACGCCTTGCTCACTATGAGGCTGTCCTTCGTGTTTTACGGTATATAAAAAGAGATCCTGGTCAAGGCCTTCTTCTCAAAGCAGATTGTGATCTAAAGATCCATGCCTATTGTGATTCAAATTGGGCATCTTGCCCTCTTACTCGACGTTCCCTCACTGGTTTCTTTGTTATGTTGGGTTCATCACCAGTGTCATGGAAGACTAAGAAACAAGTCACGGTGTCGTGCTCCTCAGCAGAAGCAGAGTATAGATCAATGGCTGCAGCTACAGCAGAGATTGTATGGCTTAAAACATTTCTCACTTCCCTTGGTGTCACGCATCCAAGTCCTATGGAGTTGTTTTGTGACAACCAAGCAGCGTTACACATTGCAGCAAATCCGGTGTTTCACGAGCGTACTAAGCACATTGAGTTAGATTGTCACTTTGTACGCGAACAAATCCAGTCCAATAATATTGCTACCGCTCACGTACCGTCTCGTTCCCAACTTGCAGACTTGTTCACTAAAGCCTTGGGACAACGTGAGCTCCTTGGTTTTCTTCCCAAGTTGGGCATTTCATCCTTACATGCTCCAACTTGAGGGGGAGTATTGGAGATTTATGTGTAACAAAATATTATTTATTCTGATTTGTTATTTGTATGTTAGTTGTTAGCTCCTAGTTGTTGTGATACTGTTACGATAGTTTAGCAATAGTTTAGGCTTTCTTTGTTATTGGCTGTTATCAGCCTTTGCTTTGTAACAGCAAGTCTTGTAACGTTAGCCTATTTAAAAGAGGCAGCGCACATATCTAAAAGAATATCAGTGTTAATATCAAGTTTATTTTTACATGTAGAAATTTTAGTAGATTTGGTTTATTCTTAGAATGAAATTGTGAATCAATTATATGTCTGAATGAAAAGAATAGATGCTTAGAATTGTTGCCTGAAGTTGAGCAGCAACAACTGAGGATTAGAAAATTGACCAAGGATGCTGTTACTTCTCCTGAAGAAGTTGAAATGCCAGCTAAATTTGGTGTTCCCCAAAGTCAAGATTCGAGGTCAAACAGTTTATTAATTCCCTCATCTGTAAATTCTTCCCTCATGCTGCATAGAGGCCAACTAGTTATTTTTATTTTTATTTTGTTTAAATTTTATTTTTATTTTATTTAAATTTTATTTTTATTTTTTCCCTTAATTTTCATCTGCCACCGACTCTAATTAATTTGAGATAAATATGTTGTTGATAATATTGCACAGGCCATGCAACTGCTTTGTTGACTTCAACCAAAATAGGCACACCTTTCACCACTACTGGCCGTGAGCTTGGTAATTTCAGTTCTCCATAGCATCATCATGAACAGTTAATTGCCAATAACGAGAGGGGGCCAAAGCATCAAGGTAGCATTAGCAAAATTTTAGATATAATAACACTTCTACTCCAAGGTGTCATAGGATCCGTTTCATGAATGGTTCACCTATGAAGGGAGTTAACAGAACATCGCCAAGCAATTCCCAAGAAAAAAATGCTGAACAAAATCTCACCAGCAGTTGAACAGAATCTGTTTCTTGGCCAAAATCAAAACACCATTCCTAAGAACTCCTGGAAGACTACAGATAATCCTGTTACTAGATCCGCGCTCAGCCATTCTAAAGAATTTCCTAGTAATGTCCCGAATATATTTAGTAGGATTGTGCAATCACATAAAGATGATAGAAGTTGGATTTCTGCTAATGATCCAATGTATGTTTCACGGAGGTAAGAATCCATGCCTGTTTCTTACCAGTCCTATGTTTCTTCATTTTGCTTACTTTGTTTCTTTTATAAATATTGTTTTCCTTAATTTATGATAATGGATCCTCTTATGTTAAAATTCTCATTTGATCATATTATGTGAAATTTTTTTATCTCTCTCTCTCCATAGACATTAAATAGGTCGGATCCTATCAAAAGTTAGGAATATCTATAAAGAGAAAAGATATACAAATTTTTCATGTGACAAGTTTATTTGAAATTTTAAGATTGAGGATCCATTCCCATAATTATTGAGATAAGAAGTTGCTTGACCCCTGTGTGCGTAATCCTAATTCTTTTAAAGATTCATCAGAAGGGTTCAATATGTTTTATGCCCGATTCCTTTTATTTAACTTTGTTTCATTAGCCATATATAAAAGAAATTAGATAATGAAGAAAACAACATCAATGGTGGACCTAGATGGAGATCTGATGAAACCAGTGATGAGGAAGAAGATCAGCGTTCAGAAAGAGCTATGGAGATAGCTTATCATGCAGCTCCAACTAGGATAACAAGAAGAAGCAGATTTGTCAAGAGATGAAATCACAACCCTTCTGATAAAGGGACTGCCGAAATTTTCTGGAATCGGACAGAAAATTTCTCTGGTGAAAGTGAAGCAAAGTTGTTTGTTTAGGCTGAGAGATATGCTTTTTTGGAACTTTTAGTTTTTATATATGCATATACACTGGTCTTAGTTGTGCAGCTAATATTCAACAGAGGAAATGATAATTTTAAAGGTTCGTTTCCTTTCCCTTTTTTCTTCAATCACTATAGAACAATACTTTAGTTTAGGAGAATGATTCATGTGAAATTAATGATGTTTTGAACAATGAGGTAATCACTATAGAGCTATAATTTTTTCTATAATTATCCAAATAGGTTCACTGGTTTGAACTTTTTCTCTTTTGGGATTAGACAATGAAGTATTTTTCGAGTGTGAAAGTAATCGGAGGAAGGCATTTACCGCTCCAGGAGATACTTATAGTGAGATATGAAATGCTTGTAAAATCTGCTCTGTGTAGAGCAACCGAGTCGAATGTTGTGGTTTTGACTAGTAAAATCCTTCTATGTATAGTGTAATTAGTTCTGCAACTGTAGCAGTATTTCACTATTATATGAAAAATATTAGCTAAACTTCAAATTATGTACACATAATATGTTAGGAACAAAGTTCTAACATAATACCTCTGGGCAATTTGCATCATTAAAGGATGTATCATATTATTTTTTGAATTACATAATGAACAATAAAAGTATAATTTTTATGAGTATTAAACTTTTATTATTCAACCTGTAATCTTTATAAATTTGTAGCTTTTACTACTCATTCTATATTGTTTGAGTAGTGATAAAAATATTCTTTTATAACTAAAAGATCATAAGTTCAAATTTAGGATAGTCTTGCGTATAAGAATTATATTTATTCCTACCCTCATGATAGCTGGGATTTTTAATGAGTATTTTTTTTATATCATTTGGTATAAAGTCTATAAAAAAACAAATTTTGAAAAATAATAATACGTAGTTTCTTGTTTTAGAGGGGTAGACCCCTTAATTTTAATGAAGAGGGTCATTCTAACGCTTTTTGGAGCTTTAGGATAAAATTAATTACCATGTTATAAAGATGGGCCGATCAATGTTACAAGTTAATCTGGGCTTATTACACATTGATAACAAAAAAAAAGTGGAAATCTAAGGTTATGTTTGATTTCTGTTTTGGTAAATAGTTTTTTAGTTTTGAAAAAAAATAATAAAAAAATTGCTTGATAATGGTTATTCTATGAAAACGTATCCAAAAACTGTATGTGTTTTAGTTTCTAAAACTAAAATCAGAGAACATCTCATAGATATTTTTGTTCTGTTTTTTGGGTTTTGACTTTGAAACAAGAAAAAACAGACAGAAGGGAGAACTGTTTTACCGTCTAAGATTGTATATTTTTTTTTTTGGTAAGCAAATTGTATTCTATTTGCAATTCAAGTGGGCTTTACCCATTTTTTTAAAATAAAATACAAAAAATATAGTTATACATTTTTTGATGTGAACGTGACATAATGAGAATATTTTCTTGTAACATGAGAAATCATTTTGCCTTTGTTTATAGGAAAAATATTTCTGCAGTTAATGCAGATAAGTTATCTGCATTTATTCTCAAAACGATGTCGTTTTGATATTGAAATCTTACAAAATTATAAACATAAAGACTATTATAATCCTGAAATAAATTAAAATTACAAAAATACCATGATTTCCGCCTCAAAACGACGTCGTATTGGGCTTACTACAGATAATTTATCTGCAGTAACTGCAGAAAAAGCGAACCTGTTTATATATATGGTTTACATTTCAGTAAGCAATCTGTGAATAGTTTTAGAATGTGATAGCCATTGCTTTCTCAATCAAAAGTTCACTAATTTCTTTTCTTTAAACTTTCGTTTTGAAATATACAAACTACAAAATTTCTGAAAAAAAAAGAATGAAAAGAATTTTGTCAGAAAAATAATCTTTATTGCGGAAGCTTTTATTTTATTTTGTATAAATATTTTAATCAGATAATAATATTATTTAGTCAAAAATATAAAACTAATTAAATATTAAAAAGGTCTCAAAATGCCTTGTATTCAGTAGTTAATCATGCTTATGTTCTAAGTCAAATTTTGTTGTTATTTGACAACAATAAATATAAAATTTCTTCTTCATTTTTCTAGAAGAGTTTAATTTTATTTTATTTTATTTTTGGATTGCTCCACTGGTTTTCGGGGCTTCGCCCCGACTATATCCAGTCTGACCCGGGTAGGTTACTTAGCATTGACAGGTGAGTCTATGAGCGAAAAATTTCTACATACATAAAGTCTCGAACTCGAGTCATTGCTTAAACGAACCCAAGTAAGTTACCAGTTCAGCCAACCCGTTGGTAGAAGATTTTAATTTCGATACACATTCTTATCCAATTATCCAACTATACGGCGGTCCATCATCCTAGCGGTTACTTCCTATGCAGTGGTTGGGGTGTCACAGTCAAACATCACATGATTGACCAAGTTTCGATGTGACATGATTATATTGAATGCTAAGCTTCATCAATAATTAACTGAAGCTGAATTAGAAGTTATAAAATTGACCTAAAACGAGTGGAGGAAGAGGAAGCAGAGGAGGGATGAATCTTCCTATCATAGACCTCTCTTCACCTGATCGTCTTTCCACAGCCAATTCCATTCGTCAGGTTTTGAATTCATCACTTTCTCTTCTCTGATTTTCCCATAAGTTCAAGATTATATTATAATTGTCATGTGTTGATTAAAAGTTGAACTTTGTGTTAATAAAATAATAACTATTAATTATAGGCATGCATTGAGTATGGTTTCTTTTACCTTGTGAACCACGGGGTGGACAATGAGTGTGTGAGGAAAGTGTTTGACCACAGTGCCAAGTTCTTCTCACATCCACTCCAACACAAAATGAACTTGGCCCGCAAGGAATATAGGGGTTATACTCCTCTCTATGCTGAGAATCTTGATCCTACCTCACTCTCCAAAGGTATTTTTCCTTTTCTTTTTTCTTTGTTCAGTTTAGACATTGTTAATGTTCAAACTGTTTTTTGAGCAAATATCTAAAGCCAATGGAGAAAAATATGGTCGTCCAAGACATGAATTATGTTGAGATATATAAAACCATTAAAAAAATCCCTCACTTAAAAGCTTTGGCTTGTGCCATATCTACGCTTCAAGCCCAAAAGACTCTTGCGTGGGGATGTGTTAGAGAATAATATAAAAGCATTAAAATAGCCATCACTGAATACTTAAGGTTTTGGGTTGAAATAGTTCTTTACAAATTACAAGGCAACATGTCACAACTAATGCCAAAGTGTATGCAAATTGGCTAACCAGAAGAGTTAGGATTCACCGTAGCTGTAACTCTCAATGTAATCTTTATTTAAGCAAAAATAACCAAATAAATTGGGGTGCACAAAACTCTTCATTAGTCATTGAAATGCCAAATAACAGGAATTATGAATTCTCCTTAAAAAATAATTAAAAACTCTATGAAAACAACTCTGAAAGCCCAAAAATTGCTGGTGCTCATCCTTGCTCAGAATGCCAATTTCAAGGGACCGGTCAAGTTTGAGTCCATTATGAGAATGTCACCTCGGGTTCATCAATGATGATGTGTATTTTATTTATCAATGAAAGGCTCATTCTACTCTTTATCTTCCTCCAGCATTGTTTATGGTTTATTATCGTGTATCTGCCTTTTTGGTATATAGTAACCTGGTTTCCTTACAAACGAATGACAATGATGTAGGGTATGATGGGTTTGGCCAATGCTGAAAGAAAACTTTCTATGTCCTTATGCAATTGTTCATTTTCTAGAAAGATGGAAAACTTTGATCATTCATTCCTTATAAGCAGGTGATCCAAAAGAGAGCTATTACATTGGTTCTTTAGAAGATACCACAAGTGTTCAGCTGAATCAATGGCCTTCTGAAGGTATGGCTTTCCTTTGTATTCATTTGATTAGGAATGAAAATTTTGTGGTTTTACACGAGCTTAACTTGAGATGTTTTTGCTGGCAAGGACCCTTTAGAATTACTGCCAAATTGGAGACCTACAATGGAATCCTTATTTTGGAAACTGTTGTAAGTTTTATTACCCTTCAAAGTATTTTTCTATTCTATGCTATCAAATATGTACTATGGATTGTTACTTACCAGCAAAAGTAAAATTTCAACATCTGTTGTTTGGTTAGGTTTTTGCTTTTGTTACACGGTGTCAATAGCAAATTAATCGGCTCTTTGACCCCTTAATATCCCAATTTGGTATTGGGTTAGTACATTTTACTGTTGGGTGTCTTTTGGTTCCCGGGGGTCGAAATTGTGCCACGTGGCATGCTATCCAAGTTTCCGGGGGGAGGGGGCGGAATTTTTTTTTTAAAAAAAAAGGTGGGGGGAGGGGACTTTTGGGAGGAAATTTCAAATTCAAATAGTTCCGCTGACCCTTCACAGCGGAACAGAGAAAAAAAAATGTATCAACTCAATATCAAATTGGGATATTAAGGGATCAAAAACTCCAAATTGATCTCCTCTAAAATTTCACTAATCTATAGAACTGGAAGATTTTGCTGCCTGTGTATTTATTGAGAACTTCATTCATACATCTTTTCTTTGTGAGTGTGTGAACTTGTGTGTTGTATATGCTGAAGGAAAGGAGGCTGAACATTCATATACACATTTTCTTTTGTTCTTTCTCTTGTTATAAAATTTAGAATTTATATTCTTCTTTTCTGCCATAGGGAAGCTGGAAAAGAGCTGTTGTCTCTAATTGCCCTGTCCTTGAATCTGGATGAAGATTACTTTGAAAAGATAGGCGCCTTAAACAAACCAGCAGCTTTTCTTCGTCTTTTGCACTATCCAGGTTTATTAGCATTAATTTGCTTTTCTGGACCTTCTTAACCACATAACACCACACCCATAATTCTATGCCTATGTTTGTGGCTTCAAATATTTATCTTCCCTTCTTAATATTTATCTTATTTTGCTTATTGTAATTTTCTCATGTTCAATTTGCATGCTGGAAAATGGAACATATTTTCTTTATTTTCAAGTATGGATTCTGATGCCTGAACTATACTGCACATGAATATGGCAGTAATCCGTATGTCAATTTGAAATACATAGTGCAATATATTTAATGAATTGTATGGTATATTTATAAATTGCATGTTTATTTTTGCACATACCCCTTTTACAAGTTGTAAGTTGTAACTAGATTTGAGTTTGGAACTTCACTTCTGGTGGCAATCAAAGTTTGTATTTTATATTACATTCTAAAGTTCTTTCTGATGTTTTATTAATAGGGACAAGATTTTCAAACCAGTTATCCTATTTAAACTTTTATGTTCATATTATATCTTTCAATTGCATTAGGTGAATTGGGATCTAATGAAGAGATATATGGTGCCTCTCCTCATTCAGATTATGGTATGGTCACTCTCCTAGTGACTGACGGTGTTCCAGGACTGCAGGTTCTCATCTTACCTTTAGGGCCTGTTTGGAGCACTTGGTAAAGAAGATAGGATAGGATAACTTATCATATCCTACTTTTATCTCTTGTTTGGTGGGTCAATAGGATATGATTAGCTTATCCTATTGTCTCATTTTATCCTATCCAATACATGATTTCTTATCCTATGGGGGGAGCTGGGTTAGGATTCAACATGATAGGATACCAATATTGGATATCCAATATATCCTCACGCTACTCAATATATTTGTATTTATTGCATTATATTTTGTTTTTTCTTTCTCCTTTCTCCTTTCTCCTTCTACATAATCTTATCAGATTGTTAATCAGGTGTTCATCAAACACAGGATATGATATAGGCTTATCAGTCTCATATCATATCTTATCCTTATCAGTCCCATATCATATCCTACCCTTATCCTATCCTGTCCACCAAACGAGCCCTTAGTATACTATCTGCTCTAGTATTGTGGTAAGTCCTTGGTATTAGAGAAAGGAATTGGAGTTAAACTCCTTCCAAGCAGGGGATTCTATCTCCCTGTATCAGGAATCTGATTGCAGATTAGAATTGTACTAAAAACAAAAGAAAGAATTGCTTCCTTTTCCTCACGTTTACATTATTTATTATTACAATTTCGATTAAATTTTACAATTCATATAATCAAAGGCCTTAATATTTCATATTTAAAGATTTGCAAGGACAAGTTCAAGCAACCTCAAGTCTGGGAGGATGTGTCTCATATAGAGGGGTGAGTTCATGTTTGAGTAACTTTGTAAATAATATATTACTACTTTTATGTCTATTTGAATCACAGCTGAATGATATTATCTCGAGATTCTAGACTATAGTTCCATTAAAAATTATGCAATTATCTGCTCTTCCTTCCTAGTGTTAAGTGCTTTCTGTTTGTGTATGCAGGGCCTTAATTGTGAACATTGGAGACTTGATGGAAAGATGGACTAATTGTTTATACCGGTAAAATCCATCATCCAACAACTTAAAGAGCTATTTTTTAGTTTCTTTTACTAATAGAGCTGTTAAATATCTATTGCATTGGATTTGGTGTACATATTAAGCAAGGTCTTGGTGTGCTGGTCTATATTATTCTCAGTTTCTGTCATTGCTCTTGTAGGTCAACACTTCACAGGGTTATGCCAACAGGAAAAGAACGCTATTCTGTAATTACTAGCTGCTTTCTCAGTTGCTTTCTTTATTTTATTTTTGGCTTTAATACTTCTTACGTTGCTCTAGATGAGAAATTTTGAAGCAACATATAGAAAGTCAAGATCTGGGATCCGCATGCGGATCCTAGTATAAATATGTTTGTTGCAAAAAATTTCATCTACTGTCACTGCGGATTCTGACTTTTTTATTTTTGTTTTAAATGTCAAAATCCGCATGCGGATCCTAGTATAAATATGTTTGCTGCAAAAATTTTCATCGCTGTTGCTGCAGAAGTAGCGAATCCTTTATTTTTAGAATGATAGCTTATGATTGCTTTTTATTTCAATGGTAGGAGAGAACAGATGGAATTTACATTTTCCTATTTTTCTTCATACCAACCAAAAGGAGTATGCTTCACACTTGTTATATGACATGTGGATAATTGACTAGATTCGTATACTCATTATTGGACTTGGAAATTGAAGAAGAGATGTTTGGATGATCCAACAAACTTTATTGGTTGAGTGGGTTATACTGATTTAGACACTGATAAATGACAGAGCATGCCCTCCACACTCACACACACAAAGCGGGTACGGGTGGAAAAGTCACATGCAAATTCTAATGATAAAAAGGTTCATACTGAAGTCGGTGATCTATCTTAATTATAATGCTAGATGACATTGCATCTAGATAAAGCTTCTCTTTCATTTTGGGCTACCAAGGTGCCACTCTACCATGACATGTCTTTTCTCCAAAGGATACGAATTTTTTAAAACTAAAGTAGTTTCTTAGCATGGATATTATTGAATGAATCAAATAGAGGGCAAGTCTCAAACAGGTAAAATTGCTCTTTTATGATTGAAAGGTCATGAGTTCAACATCAGGAAATAAATTTGCAATTATGCAATGATAAGGTTACGAATTAAAATTATCCTCATCCCTATCATCTCTAGTCGGATTTTACTGAGAAATTATCGTTTATTTTAAATTGTTGAACAAGTTAGTTAGAAGTAGGATATGCATTATCCACCGTAAATACTGTATCATAAGATGATGACATCTTTTCAAACAGCCTTTAAGTTCAAATTTATCCTAAAAGATAGAACAAGGAATTTACCTGATGTCATAGATTGTGAGAATGCTCATTCTACCCATTACATTGCAAATTTGGCTTCCTTTTATTTGCACTTTGATGTGATCTTCTAGTTTGTTAGCATGATTTGCTTATTCGTTTCCAGTGAAATATGAATGGTGTTGTGTTATTTTGCAGGTGGCATTCTTCTTGGACCCGCCCTCAGATTGTGTGGTGGAATGCTTTGAAAGTTGCTGCAGCGAATCATCTCCCTCAAGGTAGTAAAAAAATGTTCTCCTCTTAGGATTCTTTTAGGTAGACTGAACTGCATGTAAGCAATAAGAAAATGAGTTTCAGGAAGAAAAAAAAAAGGATTTGGATGCACTTTAAAGTTTTTTCCCTATCAATTAATTATATATTATTAAATAATTGAAAAAATGGATTTAATATTTCTTAACTTATCTCGTGTTTCAAAATAGCAATATTTTGAGACTCAGATAAATGTATTTTTATAATATGATTTATTTTAGAATTATATTTATCTTTTATTATTACAATTTTTTTAAACCCAAAATGGTATTTTTTTTTTAGTAGAAAAAATGATGCATTTTAGGTAACAAGATATAACTTTATCTCCGTGACACGTTACAGGAGAATTTTAAGTTCTTAAAAAATTGTAACTCTTGAATAAGATGATTTAGGGTCAATTTTTTTTAATGAGAAGATAATGTCTGATTAATTGATCTACGAAACTAAAGGTCCGTTTGGATGAGCTTTTACTTCTTCTTTTTCAAGAAAAAAATAACACTTCTCGTTTTTAGTTTATTTGGATGTCTGCTTTTAAAAAAAAAGAGAAATCACAAAAAAGTCAAAAATTTACTTTTTTTCATAAGCTAAAAATTTTAACTTATAAGAAAAGCAAAAGTCAAAAATGAAATATTTTTTTCAAAAACTAAATATTTTTATAAAAATATAAATAGCTTTAACTTTTATAAAAAAATACTTCTAAAATAAAAAAGAGATCAAAGTTACTTTTTTGAAAAATCCAAAAAAACGCACTCTAAGAACCCATTTATTTGGATTGCCTTCCTAAAAAAGTCCTTCTTATGCCTTGTTTATTTTAAAAATATTTTTTACAAAAGTTAAAGTTATTTAAATTTTTTAAAAAATATATTTGATTTTGACTTTTTTTAAAAGTTAAAATTTTTAGCTTTAAAAAAAATAGGTTTTTATCTTTTTTATGATTTCTGTTTATTTTAAAAATAAGCATTTAAACAAAAAAAAATTTAGAAATATTTTTTTTTCTTAAAAAAAGTAGCTTTTGAAAGAAAAAAAAAAAATCCATCCAAATTCAGTCCAAAAGCGTTTAATCTCAATAGTGGATAAAAGCAATCCAAAGGAAAAAGTGCGGTAGTAATCTGCTTGTAGATTTTTGTAATCCAAAACACACAAACACAGAAAAAAAGAGAGACAACCGGCAAATATTATTCCCGAGGTCTTTGTCGAAAGCTATATGAACTCGTAGATTTCTCAAACTTCACTTTTGCACGCAACATGCTATTAACTTTTGTCAATGTTCGCTGCAGATTCCCTCCAATACGTAGTGGGGACTACCTGAATGAGCGGTTCAGGCTCACGTATGGCTCTGAAAGGGATCTGAAATGTTCCATCAAGTTATGAAGAACTAAGCTGCAAATTTGTTCTTTATGCATGGGTTGCAAATACGGGTGGTAAATGAAATAGGGGTCTTTTAGGGATCTTTCACTCGATTCGTGAATGTCTGAGTTTATATGTGTATAATTAGTTGTTGGAATCAAACTTGAACTTGTATAAAAATTCGTTTTAATAAAAAAAGGCCTGTTCAAAAACTCAGCCTTAGAACCTCTCAAGCTAGTCTAGTATATTAATTTTTATTTTATTTTATACTATTTGTAATAGTGATTTCTCTCTTTCTCTCCTCAATTCATTTCATCCAATTTTATTGGTTAAACAGATTTTTTGAATAATTTTGTTCCATATTATACTATTTGGATATACATTGAATTTATGAATATTTATGGAATTATTAGTGTTGTTGATTGTATATTCTGTTTGGATAAATTTTTAGTGTTTTGTTTTTTTTAAATAGGTTAAACCAAGTTTTTATTTTTTTGTAAATAAGTCAGGCCACATGCCGATAATTATATTCATAACATGTAACAGACTTGATTAGGCTGATATATTTAAACACAGACTTAGCCTTTTAAGATCAAAACTCGGCTCGATTCGTTCCGTTAACACCCCTAGTTACAAACACAAATATGTGAATGGCACAACACTTGTCATTAATTTAAGCTGCAAATTAGTTAAGTAAAATTTTACTTTAGCCCCTAAAAAAATTAGTTCATTAATTTAATCCCTTTGAGATATTTTATCAATTTAGTTCTTAAAATTTGAAATCCTTTTTTTTCATTCATTTAAGTTAGCAAAGTTGATTTTAAAAGATAATTTGTCATATTAAAAGATGACTCAGTATATCTAACTTGGTCGATAAGTTAAAATAATCTCGTTTGGCTAAAATTCATTTAGAAAGATATATATATATTCTAAATTGAAAATGTACGCACACACAAACTTTCAATGAGAAGATTGTCAAATTTAACTTAATTAGTTAATTGAGTGACTTATACATGTTATTTTATCTTTAAGTTCAAAAAAAAGTTTTAGCAAATTAAAATAAACAGACATATAAAAAAATAAAATATTTCAAATTTAAAAAAATTAAATGAATAAAATTTATGTATGAATGACAAAATTAATGAAGAACATATTCTCAGAGAAATAAAGTAGGATTTTACTCTAATTTTTAGTTTGGTAGGTTTGACGGTCATTGTTTGATCCTTATTTCTTTCCATTTTTTGCAAATCTACATGGCTTCCCCAGGGATAAAAAAAAGACCAAAATTATGACATACATATCTTATGGTCCACGCGTCATTCGTGGAAAGCTTTCCTTTTAACTCGTAGTGGGGCTTTACGCATAAAGTGAAATGAGAATAATTGAGGAACTGGGGGGGAAAAATGGCCTTTGGAAAAGGATAAGGTAGATAAGCATTTATAATCTTCTTTTGTACGAAAATATATCCTGTACGCTATTGTGCGCAAAGAATATACCCAACCTTCAAACTTGGAAGCATTCCCACGTGGATTATCGCTTCTAAATCTGTTCCAGTTTTCTGAATTAGAGTTTAGATAAGATTTTGAGATTCCCTTGTCATATAAGGTTTGAGAGACATGGAAAAAATGTTTCTTTTTGTTCCCTCTTATATTATTTTGGACTTGAGAAAAAAATATTAAAATGTATTGAGAAAATTTATAAAGCAAGAAAGAGGAATTTTTTTCAAAGCATAATGTTTTTTTTTTCACAAGTTCCAAACCAATGTGGTTTTGCAGTCATAAAAAATAACTTTATTTTCTATGAGGTAAAACCTTATATAATAGTTATTTGAAAATTAAAAGTTATTTGAAAAAAAAGTAATCCTAAAAGATATGATAGTTTAACTTGTTTAAAAGTTATTTGAAAATTCAAATGAAAATTTATTTAAAAGAACAATATAAAAAGTAAGATTGCTTAGTCGTTTTAACTCAGTTTATTTTAAAACTTAAAAACATTTAAGATTAAGGGTTCGCTTTTTCTGCAGTTACTGTAGATAATTTATCTGCAGTAAGCCCAATACGACGTCGTTTTGGGACGGAAATCATGATGTTTTTGTAATTTTAATTTATTTCAGGGTTATTATAGTCTTTATATTTATAATTTTTTAAGATTTTAATACCAAAACGACGTCGTTTTGGGAATAAATGCAGATAACTTATCTGCAATAACTGCAGAAATATTTTTTCCTAAGATTAAAGCTTAAAATAAGTTCTTAATATTTAAATTAAAAGTTGTATGGTAATTATATGATTTTTTTTTAACTTATCGCCCAATTTGATAAAATGAGAAAAAAAAAACCCTAAAAATTATAAAAAGTCAAAACAAAAATAGACATATATGATGGTTAGGGCTTCTCACAAGGGCATGTGTAAATATAAAAGACAAGACCTCTATCGGACGTTTGGTACAAGAGAAATAGTTTTTTTATCTGAAAAATAATTTTGTTGGAATGTGATTGGAAATATTTTTTGCCAAGTAAGTTATAAAAATATGTTTGGTTAACCAAAATTTATCTCGGGAATATTTGGATAATCAACTTTGGTACTTTTTGGTACTTTACAGAATATTTTGGTACTTTTTTTTTTATTTCCCGGACAAAACAATATACCAGCTTATCGATGGAGAAATTTACAATTTGTCCGTACCACATTTTACACATTAACTACAAAAAAAGGGGCAAAAGTGTTACTCGAAAAAATGTAATTTTCTTGCTACCAAACTTGACTTCGAATTCTCCTTACCCAGCTTTTTAAGGAAAACAAAAAGAATCTAGTACCAAACTCTTTGCCTGTTGGTAGAGATAATAGCTAAGTTGCAAAAGGTCATGGATGGCATTCCAGGACATTTTCAATCCTACTGTCATAATGAATTCAAAATAAAATTATAAACTATGTATTCTAAGAATATATAAGCATCACGTTAAAAATAAAAAAAATTCCTTTCAAACATGTCAGTGCAGGTATTATACTCCTATTGGTGAGATGTAGGTATTACGATTGTATATTAGTTTTTTTTTTTTTTTTTTGTGATTTTCATGTCACAGACATTGGCCTAAAGATTTGCTATTTTAGCCTCTAGGAATGCAACATTCTAGCACAGCTTAGTAGGACACTCAAATTATCCCAAGCAACAAACAATTTCTATAAGCAAGACAACCTCAAACAAGGGAACGCCTTTCCCGAACATCTCCAAAACTTCACTAATTTAAGATTGCAAGCTGACATCTTTCACAAACTAAATTAACTCTCATTATCGATTCACCTAAAGAAACAAAGTCAAGCCTAACCAACAAAAGCTTAATACTTCTTCTAATAATGAAGTACCGAGTTAAAGGGCACTATAAGATCAGAATCTGGGTCCAGACCTAATTACACTCTCAAGATCTATAGGGAAAATATGAACAAAACTAGAATCGCAAAATATCCCTCACACTAGTTTTTTTTCTTCTTCTCACAATTGCACATATCTCGCTTATAATCTCAAGGGTTCATCCTAAAATAACTAGGCTTATCTTCGGTGGCGGACCTGGGTTAGTGTAAGTGTGTGCAAGTGCATACACAAATTTTTTGAAAAAAAAGAATAAAATATATTTTGGGTCATTAACAAAAATTATAGGATCCAATTTAATCTCTTAAAAAAAAGTTGACTCATGATCCCTTTAAATTTCAAAATAAACCCATTTTAGTCCATTTGAGGGATTAATGTAGGTCTTTTTAAATTTCAGGGGATCGTGATTTTGATTATCTGGATCTATTTTTGAATTCTGAGGGATCTCGAGTAGATTTTTTTCCCCCTAAGAGATTAAATTGAGGCCCATAATTTTTGTTGAAGACCCAAAATGTTGTATTGTAACAGTTTAGTTGACTCTTGATTACTTTTTTTATATTAAATTAAAATTTTCTTTTTTTTTATATATATTCTTTTGTATTTTAATATATTTAAAATTTTCTTTAATTTTTTTTCTTTATTCTTTTATTGTAAGTGTGCAGACATTAATTTTTTTTTTCTTGTTCCGATATTGCTTGTCTTAGATAGGGTTCACAAATATTCTCTTCCCTAACTTTTTGAGCATCCTGAAGGCAATCTATAGAGATATTTTTCTCACGTATGAATTTTTGGAATATATATATATATATATGGAAAAAAAATGAAAATAAAGTGACTGGATGTAAAATTCGGTCCAGTGCACTATGTTCTCCCGTGAGAACATAGTGCAATAAATCTTACAATAGTGTTCTCCTGGGAGAACATAGTATAATTTTTACCATAACTGTGTTTTCGCGGGAGAACATAATGCACTGAGAACATATATATATATATATATATGCACTGGACCGATATATATATATATTCAGTCACTGTACACTCACTATATATATATATAATATATATATATATATATATATAAGAGTTATGTTGTAGGAAAAGTGATTGTGTTATGTTATAGAGATTCGTTTTGCGTGCCGTAATTTTTTTTTTTTGCTTCAAAAAATGTGGGCCCCACAAAATATTGTGTGTGTAGGAAACTTTTTCTGGTCATATTGCATGATGAATGCAAACCCCTATATATATATATATATATATATATATATATATATATATATAGTGTGTGGATTTAAAAAAGTCCCACATTGGACAACTAATAAGAAGTGAGAGAGTTTATAAGCTCCCACTTCACACTCCTAGATTGTCCCTTGGGGCACTACACTTTTGTGAAGGGGAGAGGAGCTAGGTGCCATTTGGTCCACCATGTGCGTTGCCGCCAGCTCAGATCGGTTCGGTTTGTGTGTGTGAAATAAAAATATTTTTTTATTAAATTATTTTACTAAATTTTTTGTTCAAAATACTCATGTCTCTATCCGTTGCTTCCCTCCAGATTTTTCAATCCAAACGTTTCTTCTTGCCGATTTTTTGAACCAAACTGATTCTTACTCTTCGGTTCGAACCGACGCGTTCATTTATATTGAACTGAACCGGTCACCGATTGTACCCGTTCACGGCTGTCAGTCACGGCGGTTCGCCTCCGGTGGCGGTTCATCGTGATCGGTCAGTGTCTAAATTTTATCCAGTTTTCTGCAACGTTACTCTACCGGATTTTTTTCTTCATCCGGTTTTGCATACTTCCTTCCAATATCCGGTGTAATTCTTCTGGCATCCTGCTGTGTTCGTTCGGGCTGTTGACTGGTAGTGTCATCAATCTTCAAACGTAATTCGTTATATCTTGGGAGACAAGTGTCCATCAACCTTTGGCATCAGATTCCTACTATTATTCTGCATACCGTGTTCATTCTTTTTCCAATACTGTGAGTCTATTTTTATTTTTACTATAACACTGTGTTCATGATTATTAATTTCATCTGTTTTTATACACGGGTTCAAATCTCTTAATGATTTTTTTATATCATCGAGTGTCTTTTAAACAACATGAATATCTTCAGTTCTTCACTCTTGTCATATTTGTAGTTTTGACAACTTTTTGCCAAGAATGATTGAAGAACATATCGTAGTTGTTATAGCAAGTGATATAATTGGAAGCAATACAACTTGCATGTACTCTTTATATATACATAAACTTGTCTCTTCATGAAAATAGAATGGAGAATAATCTATATATATGCAAAGGCTATATTAAGGATTGTTTCCACATCATTTGAATTAAATAAATCCTAAATAACTTTTCTGTTCCGTTTTTTAGGCTGATCAAGTATGATTGAAGACCCTGTCAATAGTTAATCCATAACTCGGGTTGATTTATAAAAAATGAAGAGGAATTTAACATAATGGATCCCCCACGCATCAATTGTAAAGTGAGATCCCTTCCGACTTTAAAAACAACACATCTATATCTAGAAATTTTTTGCCTTCCATCATGTTCCTCCATATAAAGGAATGATTAATGTTTAGAGAAATATTGAGAAAATTGTATATTATTAATTAGTTCATCAATTACTCGATCAATACGATTTAAGTCGAGTCTCATGTTAAATTTAACACAATTGCGTTCCAAGAAATCCAAACTCAAAATATTAAGCTAGAATAACTATTTACCAATTAATTCACATGCTTGTTGGTACGTATTGTCACTTTGATACATCTTTCTCCGAGAATACAAGCAACTGTTTTGTTTGGATTCCAAATTTCCATAAAAAAAATTCACCCTTGTTTTACAAACCTTGCTAAATTAAATCCATGAAAACATCTAAATCTTAATTACCAGCCTCCTTAAACCAATAGAGCTTTCCTAATTCATCCACTGAATTTTCGGGGAATCAGATGTTAGTCCTACTATTTGTTTTTGTTAATATATCAATCCCTTATTTGCTCATCATATTTTCCAGCTCAGACAATAATGATTTTAAAATTTTGAAACAAGTCAAAGAATATGTCAGGTTAGATTAGGCAATTAACTTTATTAATTTCCTTGCTGTTCTTAATAGCCGTATCGAATTCCATCTTTTGATACTTATCACATTCTATTTTTGTGTCTAACTATTAATTGTTGGAAGCCCCAGTGCTTCTAATAATATGCTAAAACAACACATGATATACTGTCATGATTTGCTGATTCAAGACCACAAAGATGATAGAAGACTTATTAAAATTCACCAACAGCCCCCAAACTATTGATAAATAAAAACAATTTTTATATCATCTATTAGATAAGATTGATTCCATTAATTGATCAATAACGATACATTCTATTAAAATTAATTATTTTATAATACGTATCCTACTTGTCTTTTGTTTATTATGCTTGTCTTGATCTGTTGAATTTGTTTGATTGATTATAGTACATACAAAGATTAATAATATATTTTTTAGTGTGGTGAAATCAAACATTAATAATATTATTTATGACCTGTTTTTTTTAATAAAAATATCATTATTATATTTTCATTTTATTTTATTTTTCTCCTCTCTATCGATAATTTACCTTAAATTTGGCGAAATTTGTGCACAATGTACTTTGCGCAAATACATCATTTCCATGAATAAAATTTATAATTTGCATCTGCGCCTAGTTTGCATTCAAATGATAGTTGATTAGTTATCAAGTATGTAGAGTACTCTAGAAGGATAAGATAGAATTTTTATTATCATTTCATGCCACGCCACTTGCTCCTTGCCACGTGTACAAACCTAAGTTGTTAACGAGCAAATAGATCTCCATAATTATCTTTATTATTTTATTTGGTGCTATATACTGCGATAGATCTTAGACAAAGTAATCATATATAACGATTCGTTTTGAAGTGATATTCATTTATTTATTTTTTGTTTGGGAAATACAAGTGTTATGTTACATGAAAAATCTCTACTTTCCTACACACTCAATATAGTATGGGACCTACTTCAATTTTTTTTTTATTTTTTTACTATACAATGGAGCCCACAGTGTTTTTGTGTCTGTTACATGACACAAATGGTGTCATGTTACATGATAAACTATTATCCCTGTTTTGTTTTTGCAAAAAATATTATGCATGTCATTAAGCATAAAATTGGTAAACATGTATTTTTATGTTAAAAAACAAATGCAAGCACTAATAAATATAAGTATTGAATATCTTAAAAAATTAAAAAAAATATTTCTTAAGCAATTAGAATAGTTATAAATTAAATTTAATAATTTTGTATCTCGCGCTTAATCCTCTCGTGTGTTATTTAACATAATCATATCTTATAATGGGATTCCAATTATTTAAAGACAAATCAATGATGATAAGCGATGCGAGAGAAAAAATTAGGATTAAAAGTTAAAAAATAATCACAGTTAATTTATTTATTCATGGTCAAGATCTTTCCATGAGATATTATCATGTTAAATATTATATGCGACGATCCATTTTTATAAATGTTATACTTTGTTAATTTGTTTATTGATAATTAAGATCCCCTCATTTAATATTATCATGTTAGATATTATGTGAGGATCCATTTTTCTCATGCGTGGATAAATGTTAATACTTTTCTTATTATTAGTAAGCATTTTATGTGGGGATTTAGATTCATGTGAAAAGTGGTTATGTGATCACGTTATTTGATAATAATTATTCATTTAAAAAGTATACAACCTTCTGTCTCTTATCTCATATCAATAAATGATTGTGATCAAATAACATGATGACATAATCACTTTTTTACATGAAATTTTTATGATTACACTAATTACGAGGGACGTATATAAATTGGGTTTTATTAATCTCATGTTAAAGGAGATAAGTTATCTCATGTCATAGAGATAAACTTGTGGGCTCCACCACCTGAAAAAAAAGTGACACAGTTATCGAAGGGTATGTAGGAGAATTTTTTTTCATATATAACATAAAAGTAGTTTTTCCATATAAATTACAGTAAAAATGTTTAGAGTTCATGTAACTGTGTCATCAATAATCATTGCAAAAAACGGAGCCTTGACAAAGGATTAAGGAATATCACAAGCGCATTTATTAAGTAATATTAAGTGATAACTTTTAAATTGATATTATAAAGAATTAAAGATTATGGTGTTGCTGTATTAATTTTTTTTAAAACTTTTTTTTTGGTATTATTATATATGATGACAACACATTTTTTTATAAAATAATATAAATTATTAATTTTGATAATTGTTTATTTTTTAAAATAATATAATAATATTTAAATGACTAACATAATATCACGTTAATTTTTAAAGGAATTATTTCAATATTTAAAAAAAATAGATATTCATAACTATACATAAATAATATGGGGCAAGATGATCTTACACTGGTGTAAGAGTTAGAAGTTTTACCCTCAATCTTGACTATTGATCCATTTGTATCCAATAGCTCACCTTACTAAAAAATTTGAGTTCTTAGATATAAGTGGAATTGACGGACAAGATTAAGAGTGTAACTTACACGGGTGTAAAATGATCCTTCACCCAAATAATAAAATTTCTATTACAGTATTGAATAAGTTATTTTTAATTCTTTAGTGTCCTAAAAAGCATGTTGATAATGATAGGTTAACTGTTCAATTATCCTCTATTTGCGTAATGCGGGAATGCGGCAGAGCTCATTCCCAATACGAATATTCGAATCTCCTCCACGTCAACTTTGACGCAACTAATCAACGGTCAGTGATAAAGGAGCATGATTCTGAAAACATTCGCGAAGCACAGAATCATTCCCCACTTTATCCGCGACACGATAAATGGATAGTGTTGCGTTGTAGCCTCCTCTCTTTCTCTCCCATCTGCGAAAGCTTAGGGAGACCAAAACAAAACATTAAAAAAACCAAAAAAAAAAAAAAAAAAAAAACAGAAATAGGTCATCTCTAACCTTAAACCCCTCAATTTCATGTGTCGGATCCTGTAATTCGGATCCCCAGGACCCGCTTCTAGAACCTCGTAGTTCCAGTCGTTCGATCCGGTTCGGAACGCCATGACCCGGCGTTGCTCGCATTGCAGCCACAATGGCCACAACTCTAGGACCTGCCCCAACCGGGGGGTCAAGCTTTTCGGAGTCCGATTAACCGACGGGTCGATCCGAAAGAGCGCTAGTATGGGCAATCTCACTCACTATGCTGGCTCCGGGTCCGGACCCCTCCATGCCGGGTCCAATAACCCGAGTTCTCCCGGTGAAACTCCTGATCACGCCGCCGCCGCCGCCGACGGTTACGCCTCCGAGGATTTTGTTCCTGGCTCTTCTTCTAGTTCCCGTGAAAGAAAAAAGGGTACGATTCTTCACCCCCACCTTAAGAAAAAGCTTTTTTTTTTTTTTTTTTTACTTTTCACTCGAGTGTTATTTGTTGAAATTGCATGCAAATTTTTCGACTTTGATTTGGGAAGTATTTAGTATTGTTTTGCATCGTTGATGAAACTAGATAAAGCCAAGTATATTGGATTAATTATGTGAGCTTAGTTTGGATTACTCTGTATTTACGATTGTGACACAAAATCCTTTTTTTTTTTTTTTTTTCTGGGGTGGTGTCACTCTGGGAATAGCTAGACTAGAAAGGTACATATTAACTTTATTAGATGTTGTCTTTTTTACGAGTGAATTATTGGAATGCTTGTACTAGATATGCTTGGTTGCATAATTTATGAATCTGAACAATATTGTATGTTGGCCAATGAAATGGATAGATTTAGTTACAAATCTCAAGTCATGTGCTTTAAAAACAAGTCGCTCATATAGCTGACGGAAGTTTGTCCAATTTCAGACTAGTCTGACCCATGAAAAAAGAACAGGTTACCGAGCCCTTTTAGCCGGGGAGACAACTTATGTACCAATAAAAAATAAAAAAAAAATAAAAAAAATCATTCTGCTTGATTTCAATTGGTGCATGTGGTGTGTGTCATATGCATATGTTTTACTATTTCAGTTATAAGGAAATTGCTGCTATAGTTTTAGAACAATTTTGTTTATAATAAAAAGATAGACTCCAATTAGTTCAAAGAGGTTTATGTAAGTTTAGCAAGTCATTGAATGCCGACTCTATATTGATTTGATACTCATGCTGTGTATCAAAAGATTGGGTAACAAGCATGCTTGCAAGTTGCAAGCAGCAAGACATTGTCTTGTTTGGTCACAAATTGCAAATAGGATATCGTCCCATGTAGAAATCTGGCTGAGAAAGTCAGGACACAACTAATACACCTGTAAGCTGTTGATATCTTAACGAGATTGGGTACCTACTCTCCCTCTCTGCCCCCCTCACCCAACCATAAAAGGGTCTTGAACCTCTTATAAGAAAAGGGGGCTTGCCTTGTGGTTCTTAAGTCATGTTATTCTTCTTAAATTGACTCCTTGTTAAATCAAGGATACACTTTGTATAGGTTTATATTTTGTAGTTTTGTTTTCCTGTCTTATCCTTGAAGGTGGAGCAATTGATAGATTTTGAAAAATCAAGGTTCATTGTTGGGGTGGACATGGTGTGTGGAGGTGGGAATAGGTCAAGTGACTAATCAAGGCTTTTTTACAAGCTCCTGATAAGTCTGGGGCTTGTAAAGACGCATATTTATTTATTACTTATACTTAATTTTAAATTTAAAAGGCTTACATAATTGAAAAATAAAAAGTCCAAGTTTCTTCGCCTAATTGAAGAGTTTTGTATAATGTAAGCGTTTAAATAGGCTTGCTTTCAAGCCAAGCTAGACTTTTATATTTTTACCAAAAAGCCAGGTTGATCCCAAATAATAAAGCCTATAACGTGATACGGCAGGCTATGGACAGTATTTTGCAAAACAGGTCTGGCCCTATTTAAGCAAAAGCAAAACATAGCCTAGCTTATTTCCACCCTTAATGATGTGCATAACTGCATATTATGCAATATCCATTTTTTAGTGATGATTTCTTAGTGTTTTTTTTTCACATTGCACATAGCTTCGATCAGGCTTATAGATCTTAAATGATAACATGTCTAACTTGTTTCCTCCCCAAATGATGTGTAAGCATTAGTTGAAGGTGCATTCTTCAGTGGTAATTTCTTTTTTCACATTACACGTGGCTCTGGTGAGGCTTACAGATCTTAAATGACGACAAGCCTAAAATGAATTTCTGAGGAGTTGCATTTTTTCAAGGTCTGATTCATAATTATTTTTATATGCAGGAGTTCCATGGACTGAGGAGGAACATAGAATGTTTTTACTTGGATTGCAGAAGCTGGGCAAAGGTGATTGGCGTGGAATTGCAAGGAATTATGTTATATCAAGGACACCTACTCAAGTGGCCAGTCATGCTCAGAAATATTTCATCAGGCAAAGCAATGTGTCTAGGCGGAAAAGACGGTCCAGCTTGTTTGATATTATTGCAGATGAAGTTTGTACCCTTATATGCAAATACTATGCATGAAATATGTGTTTCTTTTACATCAAGATGCATAACATATATTGACGTTGATGCCACATAATCTGCTCATGGCCATGATAAGATTATCCAAATGTTTTTCTTTCTTTAAAGATATTGTGTGACCTGTTCTTGCTTCTGTGAGGAAGAAGTTAGTTAATCTCATGCACAATACAATGATGTTAATTTGTAATTTGTGAAAATTGTCCATATCCTTTCTTCTTCTGCAGCGGGTTTGACAATTTTGGATCTTGACTGCCTCACAGTGCATTAAGATAATGTTTCTTTAGATTATTTATAAAATCATGGCTCGGGGGTATTTCGGAGACATTGTATTTTCTCATGTGATGCAATTTTGAAATCCATTATTAGAAATCTATAACTTTCCTTGGAACCTTCTGATTTTTCTAGATTTCTTGTAATTTTATCGTGATTTTGCAGGAAGCTGACACTCCAATGGTACAGCAAGACTTCTTATCAGCTAATCAGCAGCTACAAGTTGAAACAGAAGGCAATAACTCATTGCCGGCTCCTCCACCCCTTGATGAAGAGTGTGAATCCATGGATTCCGCTAACTCAAATGATGGAGATTCTGCACCATTAAAGCCTGACAACACACAATCTTCATACCCCTTACTATATCCTGCATACTATTCTCCATTCTTCCCTTTCCCTCTACCCTATTGGTCAGGATACAGTCCAGAGCCCACCAAGAAGGAAACACATGTAGTGCTGAAGCCAACTGCTGTACATTCTAAAAACCCAATCAATGTCGATGAACTGGTTGGCATGTCAAAACTGAGTTTAGGAGAGACTATTGGTGACTCTGGCCCCTCCTCTTTGTCTCTAAAACTTCTTGAAGAAGGACCCTCAAGACAGTCAGCTTTTCATGCAACTCCAGCATGTGGCAGTTCAGATATGAATGGCAGTGCCATCCATGCAGTTTAAGTGTGTCTTGTGTTTTGAGGAGGGCACTTTTCTCTGAGCATTATCTAAGCATTGCAAGGCTCATGAACGTGGTCTTGTGTTCATCATGTATCTGGTTGTGGGATGATAACCTTTAATAATTTTTTCTTTGCCCATTCATAGGGATTAACCTAGTTTGTTTCTTTGCTGGTAGGCAGTGGCAGTAGCATCTAGGAAACTTGGGTCTAAACCAAAACTTTATGTTTGTTCAGTAATTTCATTTCTCAGGGTTATGTAAAGTTGATTGTGCAGTTTGACAGTCTACAAGTTTGTGCTCTATAATATAAGTGCTGGATTATTAGGTTTAACGGTTTAATCTGGATTTAATCCTCTAAAACTCAGTCTCTCCTTAATAACCCGAGTAGAACAGGACAAAATTGAGCAAGAGCCCCCTGCAAATCAAAAGCACGAAATATAGCTGCATGCAATGCTATGCACTTGATTAAGGTCACATTAGCAAATTCATTAATGTATAGTGGTTAAATTAAAATTATACTTTAATTCTTTTGCTGCCATGGAAAATATGTATCCATTCGTTCCTTGTTTAATGGTCCGCCGTCCACATAACAAGGATTTAGAAATTAGAACTTGGTAGCTTGGAATCATTCAACATATAATGTGGCTATTAGTATAATTTTTTTTTTCTTTTGGTACTTGTACTCAAAATCTATTATTACGTTATAAAAAATATTCAAATTTAAAATGGTTTTTTTAGAAGTTACACTTTTTCTAATAATGTGATTAATAATAGCGTAAAAAATTTACAATAATAATATATCAAATTTTATATAATTAAAATTAAATTTGTGTAACTATATATTAAGTATAAATTTTTTAAAATGCGTCTTGAAACAAAAATAATATTTATTTTTTATTTTAATTATTTTAAAGGTAAACTTTTTTTAAGTATAAATTTTCTTATTTTTTTTTTTTTAAATAATGGGCCCATTGTTTCTCTGTGTTAGCAGGAAGTTTGACAATTTTCTTAAGAAAAGCAAATCCCTCATTTTAATACCAAAATATTAAATCGAGTGCACCTACACTTATATACGACTGAAAGTAACCAGATATTAATCCTTAAAGCAAAGAAAAAATATTCATTTACAAATTTACAAACTACACTATGTCTGATCGGTAATATGTTACTCAAAAGTGTATTATCAGTAAGACATAGTATAATTTGTAAAAGTTTGTAAACAAAAAATTTGTAATATAACCTTCTACTAAAGCAAGTAGTCAAATACCTACTAACTTGACAATTTTCTGAGTAATTTTAATGTCACTTGAAACTTTTCGAGTTACGGTATTTGCAATTGCAAATACAGTTTATAACAACGATTTGTTTTCAATATTTACTTCTATTTATTTTTAATAATATGATTCTCTCGTATTAACAAGAAACGAGCATCTAGAGTTATATTTTTTTGCATAGGTTAAGTTGAAAAAAAAATTTACTCGGGCAAAAAAATTAATTTATTGTTTTTTTAATAAAAAATTACGAAAATGTAGTCGTTTTGAAATTATTTACGCAAATATAGTACTCAAACTCGCCTACATGTGGCGTGTTCCAATTGAGAGAGACACGCCCATGTGGGGCGTGAGTCATACGAGAGATATGCCCACATGGAGCGTGACTAGGAGAGAGACACGCCCAAAAGGGGTGTAAGGATTGTTGTTAAAATCTCGATTTATCATTACGATTTTACGTTTTTACGATTTTTTTCATGAAAACAATTTTACTAATATTCCAAACGCTTTTACGTGTTTATGATTTTTTAAGATTTTTTTACATTACGATTTTACATTTTGCGATTTTTTAATCTCCTTCCGATTTTACTTAAGATCTCGATTTTAACAACATTGAGCGTGAGTAGGGGTGTTAACGAGCCGAGCCGAGTTTTGCTCTTAAAAGGCTAAGCCTGTGCTTAAATGTGTCAGCCTGACCAAGCCTGTTACCTGTTAAAATATAATTATTGACTTGTGGCCTGACTTATTTACAAAAAATAAAAGCCTGATTTAGCCTGTTAGCTTGTTTTAAGAAAATAAGACAATAAAAATTTATCCAAACCGTATATATAATCAACAACACTATTAATTCCATAAATATTCATAAATTCAAGTTATATCAAAACCGCATAATATAGAACAAAATCATTCAAAAACTCTGTTTAACCAATAAAATGAGATGAAATGGATTGAGGAAAAAGAGAGGGCTATTACAAGCAGTATAAAAAATATAAAATAAAATAAAAAAATAATATACTAAGCCGGCCTGAGAGGCTCTAAGGCCGAGCTTTGTTTTCTCTTTATTAATTTGTGTTTAAACGTTCTTATGGTATCATTGTTGTAAATTCAATTTTTTTTTACAGATAAAATATGGCAAATGAGGTGTGATTACGTAGATTTCGAAAAGTTATGTGGAATAAATTTTTTTTACCTAATTCGGATATCCGAGTCAAAAGTTATGGACTTCCAAAGTTTTACGGTCAAACTGTTGACTTTTATGCTATGTGGCAGCACCTGGTGAAAAATGTCCAAATGAGGAGTATCTCTCTCCTAGGTCACGCCCAAATGAGGAGTGTCTCTCTCCAAACGATCACGCTCATGCAAGACGTGTTTGACTGCTATATTTTCGTAAATAATTTCAAAACCACTATATTTTCATAATTTTTTATTAAAAAAGCAATAAATTAATTCTTTTGCCTTTTTTACTCACCCTAATTCCCTCAAAACAATATACTTTTAAGATCTAATAATTTAGTGAGAATTTTTCACGTTGTAAAAAGTTTAAGCTGTTTCTTATGACATATTACATATGTCAATTTTTTAACTTTTCAGGTTAGTTGGGTTGATGCAATTATATTCACGGGAATTTTTTGGTTGGTGGACGTTGGTGCCATTGAAATATCTATTAGTTTTGGTTGGTTTTCGGATTATATAAATGGAAATGCATCTATTATCTTGTAGGAACCAAAAATTTTATCATGTTAAGAAAAGACAAATCAATTCATTGAATAAAGTGTCATATCACTATTTTTAATTCTTAATATGACAACAGAATTGATTCCTACAACATGAGGGATACATCCATCATGTTGTAGGAACCAAATTTTTTATCATGTTAAGACAAGACAAATCAATTCATTGAATAAAATGTCCCATCACTATTTTTAATATTATATATATCTTGTCTTTTTCTTAATATGACAACAGAATTGGTTCCTACAACACGAGGGATATAATCTTCGTTTATATATATATATATATATATATATATATATATATATATATATATATTTAGCATAAATATTTAATTATATGAATTGTTAACACAATTTTTTTTTATTTAATATTTAATGATGTTAACTTTACATGAGTTTTCAAATGTATTAAAAAATGTAATAAGTTGTCGTTAAATAATATTATGAAACAGTTTTACATGCCAATTTTTTATTATCCAGAAATAAGCAAAGCTAAAAGTGAAAAATGGAATTGAACAAGTAAAAAGATCAATCTCGAAGTTGAAAAAGAATAAAAGAACAAGAGACAAACCTTAAAATGTAACGGATAACGTCGGAGATTCGAATATACTTTGAAGTCTGCAGTTTGAATTGACAACATCGCAACAATCACGTGCGGAAAATAAAAGAAAATAGTAGCATCAAAAGAAATTTTTTTTTTCTCATTTGTCACAATTTTTGGAAATTATTAGTTTCTTATTTTGCCAGTGTCGCAAGGATAAAGGACCCTATGTTAAAAACAAAAAAATCCATGTTCGTGCAAATTAAACTTATAATAAAACATTGACATTTTAATAAAAAATTCTTCAACCGTGACACTTCGACAATTAAAATACCAAAACTTCTTATCCCAAATTAAGGCGATTTCGATTTCTAACGTGAAATAAAATTAGAAAACTCGTGTCTGGGACTGCAAAGTTCTGCCGAACAAAAAGAAAACTCGTGCTTCGGAAGTAGTGCCTGAAGTCTTGAACCTATCAAGCTTTAACAATATCTCAATAATATATTTATATATTTTCTTTTCCAAAAAAAGGAAAGGAATTAAAAAAATGCAATATAAAATGAGGAATAGGCGTTAATTACTGGGGTCATTACACTTGGTAGTTGGGGCAGAGAAAAAGCAGAACAATTAGCAAATATTGTAACTACTCATTCTTCATTCTTCGAACCGAATAGCTAGCTGAATAGAGTTTAGTCTCAGCAGTGAACAAATTGTTAGGGTTTCGCATCGCTGAGAGAGAAAATGGAAGGCGTTGATCACTTGTCATTCGAGAGGAACAAAGCGCAGTTCGATGTTGACGAGATGAAGATCGTGTGGGCTGGTTCTCGTCACGCTTTTGAAGTCTCCGATAGGATGGCTCGCCTGGTTGCCAGCGATCCGGTTCGATTCCTACTTCAATCTTCAATTCCGTTCGTCCTGTTACATTTTTTAAATGATTGAGCTTAACGTGTCTGCAGATTTTGGAACAGTAACAGAAATATATCAACAATTCTTATTGCTATTGCATTTCTTTTTTTAAATTATTTTTGGTTCTTGTGTGTTAAATTATGTGTTGCTCCTTGCTCCTGGTGTGATGATTTGGTACGGTGTAATATTAGGAAATGCAGATTTTTTATGGATTAAATTAGCTTTTCAATGTTGAGCAAATTTATTCATGGGAGAAGTAATAATTTCATATACTTTAAAAAAAAAAAAAAACCGTGCAGGAAATAATAGTTGTTAATTGTGAAGAGATTGAGTAAAAAATTTGTGAAATTAGTATTGCTCGAAATTGTCTGAGTATAAGAAATGGATTGTTATAAGGTTGCCTGGTACTTATTCCTGGCTTCCTGATCTTTTTTCTTTTATGGGAGTTTGGTGATGAATGATGGTTTTGACTTCTTTAAGTGCCTGAGACCTTGATTGGTTGTCTGTCATCTCTAGGTATTCATAAAGGATAATAGAGCGATGCTCGGTAGGAAGGAGTTATTTAAGAACACTTTGAGGAAAACAGCTTATGCATGGAAAAGGATTATGGAGCTCCGTCTTAATGGTTAGTCTTCTATTCTTTGTGTAGTTTGCATTTGGGGTTTTGTTACTTTCTTCAATGGGAGATTCTCTTTAACTGTTTTACATGAATATTTATCATACAGAAGAGGAAGCTTCTAAGCTTAGATCCTTTGTGGATGAACCTGCTTTTACTGATCTTCATTGGGTACAATTCAATTTCTTGTCCTGGTGGCATTATTTT